ATGATGAGACAACACGCTCCGTATCGTTGCAAGTTCATGCTTTTGGGAAAAGCTGAAACGTGCGGTAGGAAATGCATGACTGAGTATTGCAGCATACACATGCCGACGATAAGAAAAAGCAATGCGATCAACTACACGTGTTTGGTGCTGGGTGCCGGAGTGAAATGTCACTATTGCTTGTGCAAGGCCCACGGCAGCGATATATTCAGGTTCAAACTCATATACAAGAAGAAAAAAGAATACATGCAGGAATGCCGGTGGCTCCGCAAAATAGAAATATAATTAATTAATGTTTATTGTCCCCCGCTGCAGCGCGGAACGGGGGACTATGTATTCAGCAGCGTCCATACATACATACGTACGTACGTCCCAATTCTTGTTAACGCGATATCTCATGAACTGTTGTACCCAATGTCTTCAAATTTGTTGTCAGCCTACATTGGGAGATTAGGCAGACACCAGTCGATTTGCGTGACCTTGACCTTATTTTCAAGGTCACCACGACACTTTGACCACTTTTCCAACTCTTGTTCACGTGATATCTCATGAACTGGTGTACCCAATGTCTTCAAATTTGGTGACAGCCTACATTGGTTGATTATGCAGACACCAGTCATTTCAAGTATCTTGTATGTGACCCAAAAATAAAAAGTAGTAAATATAGATATTCCATTCTTTAGCGGTGGGGGATATTGCCATATCAGTGGCAAACACTTGTTAACAATATTTCCATGTGTATGTATACAACAGCTTTACGAACTGTTAGACATTCATTTCACTTGAAGACATAACAAAGTGTGAATACAGCCAGTTGAACTGTTAGACATTCGTTTTAACTTGAAGACATAACAAACTGTTAGACATTCGTTTTAACTACTATCTTCAGAGAGACCGCCTCTGCGGTGTAGTGGTTAGAACGTCCGCCCGGAGACGGCTAGTGGGCTAGCACTATAAAACCAGCTTAAGTCTGGGCTAGTACAAGCAGATACACATACACATACACACGCATGCACATCGTCATATGAGCGAATTATTCTCAGGTACGACGTTAAACCCAATTTCACCTCACCTCACCTCACTACCTTCAGAGAGTTGATTTCCATAGAGGAAAAGCGTGGATTGACCGTCTATTCCCGCATGAGGAAATCTTAAGTGTTTGACCTATACGACATTAAATGCGTCAAACCCTTAACTGTGAAACGATTGAAAAACCAAGCAAGACAGCTTGGGCTGGCGGGGTACTCCAAGCTTTGCAAAGCTGGGCTGATCGCATTGCTGGAAGACAGCAAGCCGGTCAAACTGAGATTGGTGCTCACGGTGCATGTCATAGGTAAGTATCTGCGAGGCAGGCAGATGGTCGTCGACTCGAACGTCGATATCGATTGCATCAAGCCGCTGATAGCAAGCAAGATCAGTGAGAAGTCAGACGATTTGAAAAGCATCAAATACCAGCTCACGGTGAAACTGTTGCTCAATAAGCAGCAGACGGACGGTGGCATCGAGCCTTATTTCCGAGGCAAGCAGGAAGTCGTACTCCAACCCGATTCCTCAATCGTTTCAACCACTGAAATGTCGCTGCAAAAAATACAAGAATCGTTGGGATGATGGACGCACATGGGATCTGGGTGGGTGGTTGGCAGCATACAAACTGTTTATTTGGGTGGTTACACATGCGCCAACCTGTTGGAAGTGCACAGAGAGGTGTGGGGCAGACAGCGATCAGGATCGACATGCCCAAGGAAGACGACAACATTTTAAAATTCGTCAACCACAATAAATAGATACTGTGCCCTACATTATCTACACCGACTTTGAGGCCATCATCAAAAACGTTGAACACGCAACAGACAACATGCCAACAAAATGCAAGATAACGAGGCTTGCGGGTTCGGTTACGTGGTGGTCTGATATAACGGGGAAAACGAATCCTCCCGTGATCTACCAAGGTCCAGATGCAGCCGAAAATTTTCTCACTTGCCTGCAACACGAAGAAAAACATTCATCAGGAAACATTTATATAGAATCATCCCCATGCGCAAGACATGACATGACTGGCGAGCTCATAAGAACGCTACTCATTGCCAGGTGTGTAATCAACCGCTTAACAGCGATTCGGTGAGAGACCACTGTCATGTCAATGGCCATTAAAGCCCCACACAACAAGTGCAACTTGCAACTGAAAATCAATCCCAAAGTCATAGCCATCCCTGTGGTGTTGCACAACCTTGGTGGATATGATTCTCACCTCATCATCCAAGCCATCTCGAAAATGGAAGGCAACATAAATTGCATCCCAAAACAACATGGAGAAAATTCATAGATAGTTTTCGGTTCCTGCTGTCAACGCTAGACAATCTAGTGAGAGCGGACGACCCTGATGTCTTCCATATAACCAATTGATTCACCGACATGTCGACTCGGCCTCTGCTGCTGAGGAAAGTCATTTATCCTTACGAGTACATGTTCGACTGGTCCAGATTCAACAAAACGCGACAAAACTCCCATGGACTGCATACAGCCACTTGACCGACTCAGGTATCGGTGAGGACAATTACTCACATGCACTTGACGTGTGGGAAAAACTGGGCTGCAAGACTTTAAGCAATTACCACGATCTCTACATGAAAATAGACGTCCTGCTGCTCGCTGACGTCTTCGGAATATTCAGAAAAACCTGCTTGAAACAATACGACTTGGATCCTGCCTGGTATTACACCAGTCCCGGTCTCTCCTGTGATACCTTGTTGAAAAAGATTGGCGTTGAATTGAAACCATTTGACAGAGCATCGCTAGACTTGCTAGACAAAAGTAAACTGGCCAAGATCAAGAAACTCGTGCACAGCTTGATGGATAAGAAAAAGTACATCATGGACTACCGAAACCTGCAGCTGTACATGTCTTGGGGAATGAAGCTGAAAAAAAAACACCGAGCAGTACCATTCAATCAAAGTCTGTGGATGTAGCCGTACATCCGAATGAACATGGATTTGCGAATCTCTACAAACTCATGAACAACTTGGTATTTGCAAGAATATGGAAAATTTGCGAAAAGGAGTCGACGTGAAGTTAGCCCAAGCTCACGAGGAAGAAAAAAACTCAGGAAACTGATAGCCAGCCCGGCATTCAACCGAAACAAGATATTCTCTGGCAACTTGGTGGCGCTGCACATGAACAAAAACCACATCAAATGCATCTGGCCTGTTTACGTGGGGATGAGCATGCTGGACTTATCCAAACACTTGATGTAGGACTTTAATTACAACGAAGTCAAAACACAGTCCGGCGATCGATGCGAGGTGCTGTACACGGACACAGATTCGCTGCTGATGGAAATTCACACCGAGGACATGGAGAAACACATCTATCTGTACGACACGAGCAATTAACCCAAAGTGCATCCGCTGCACACTCAAGTCAACAAAAAGGTTCTTGGAAAGATGAAAGATGAATGTGGGCACACCGATCACAGAATACGTCGGCTTGAGACCTAAAATGTATTCGATCAAGAAAGCAAACAATGACAAAATCAGAAAGGCGAAAGACATGGAAAAAATACATGGTGAAAAAACATATCAAGCACGATCGATTCAAAGAGGCCCTGTTCGAGAAACGGACCTTTAAACACGAAATGAACATGCTGAGAAGCAATAAACACACGATATACAGTCTGAGAATTAACAAGACTTCTCTGTCTTCCATGGAGACGAAAAGATGGATTGCCGACGATGGTGTCACGAATTACGCGTATGGACACCGTTGTATTAAACATAAACCAAAAAATAATCAAATATAAATGGAGAAAATTTACCGATGTCTCCGAAGATGTCGCTAAAGCTTGGCTTAAAAAACAAGCCTTGTGGCAAGTCTACCTGCCAGCGCCCCGGTACATGCCTAGAAAAAAATCGATATTTCGATACCAAATCAAATGCATCAAGCTGGCCTTTTGTTTCTACCACACGATAGGGTGAGACGTAAAACGTACAAGTATGCCCTGACAGTTGTTGATGTTGCCAGCTACAAAGAAGCTGAACCGTTGACAATGAAGGATTCGACTGAAGTCGCCAAAGCACTCGAATGCATCTACCAACGCAGTCACTTAACCTGGCCTGCCGAGCTTCAGGTTCATCCTGGATGAGAGTTAAAGGGAGCCGTGTCGCAGCTGCTGGCCAGGCACAAAGTTAGCAACAGACGAGCCACAGCGGGAGCTCATCGCAGTCAAGCCATAGTCGAGAGATTCAACCGCACCTTAGTCGAGCGACTGTTCAGCTATCAGTACGCGCAGGATATGATCACTCCCGAGAAACGATCAACAGAATGGGTTGTACATTTGCCTCAGATGGTGTTGGCCATCAACAACGAAGTCACTTGACTCGTAGGCAAGAAATCAGTCGAAGCCTTCAAAATGAAATGTATCACTGCTGAATCATCTGCACCAGGCAGAAAAGAGAAAAATTACCTGACCGTGTCATTATTAGGTATTTGCACCAGGTGCGAGAACACAAGGGAGAAAGTAGAAAACGTGCTACGGATCCTATATGGTTGATGAAAACGTACACCGTCGACCGATTTGATATCAAAGACGACAAACCCAATCTGTATTATCTCAACGATGGGCCAGGCCGAGGGCTCGTGTGAGAGGAATTACAAGTCGTACCTCACTCGAAATTGTAATCTGATGGTCTTATGGTGTTAGGCAAGACCGTCAATGTGGTTGGACAGTAAGCTATTAGTCTGCATTTGTTATTCTGGAAAGTTGTAGCTGGTCCCACATGAATTTCAAAACCAGCATTTGAATCGCCTTCGTCTCTTACTACACACTTAATTGTCTGTTTTGCAAATGGTAGTGTTACAGCGTAGTGAGAATTCTCTCCTGACGCTCTCTCCAGACTCTTATTTGCCCAAATAAGTCCAACCAAATATTCCTATTAATTCTCCTACTCTCGCTGATATTTTCTGAATAAACGATGCTGGTAAATCATGCATTGCTTCTTCACTATCTTGAAGCCACTGTCTTGGTATTTCCTGATACATAAATTTTTCTTCCCGATTCATTTTCGTTATACTTCTAACAATATGTTTACTCTAAAAGGGCAAAAAAATTATACACTTTTAAACTATGAACATCGATTTATGGTTCTCATCATTCTACAATATTTTCATACTTTGTAGGGGCACCCGTGAAGAGCCACCTCCTCGTGGTGGTTGCTGGGTAACGCTAAGCGCTCTTCAACCCCCTGTTGTGGACCCGGGGGTATATTTGGTCCACCAACCCGTTTGCCGTGGGTTGTGCCCCTGTGTCGGTGGAGGACGGGAGGCTGGTGGTTGAGGGCACTGGTTCTAGGACCAGGTGTTCCTGTTGTCCAACACACCACTTCGCCCCTTACTTCACCTAGACGGGTGGTTGAATGGGCCCGGTTCAACCAATCGGCTGGTAACGCCAGACCCTGTGCATTCTATTTCATAAAAATTAATTCACTGAATTTGTATTGATTTAAAAATTCAAAATTTTTCAATTTGCCTAGAGTCGTATGCCCAGAAGGCGGTGGCTCATGGGCCAGTCTGGTGATATTGGACCTCTTAATTCTGAATTTCTCAGGACATTTCTAGGTCGACCCAGCCTAGCATTTCGTCTTTCAGATTTCTTAGCTATTCACGTCTTGTTTAAAGTATATCACCCTTGTAGCCCTGGTGTTGCAGGATGGTTTCCACTGCAACATCGTCCATGTTGACACTCGATGGCGGGAGGGGAGCAGAGTTGATGAAACACATCACTATACCATGGCTCACAACTCCCTCTCTGGTTCAGTTAAAGGAAATAAAAGAAGATATCTTTCTTCTTCTGAGGATGAAGAAGTACTTCAGTCTGGTGATTTCTAGCCAAAATACTTGGTTATTGCAGCTGCGGACGGAAGTCCTTTCAAACTTAACTCTTTTGCCGTCTCCAAAGGCATCCAAGGTGTCTGCGGAGAGGTTAAAAATGTCACTCGCCTCAGAGGTCGTTCACTTTTAGTGTAATGTGTTCGGAGGCAACAATCTGTAAATCTGCTGGGTCTACGGCAGTTTGTTAAGACACAGGTTGTTGTTTCAGCACACAGGACATTGAACTCCTGTAGAGGCATCGTCAGAGATGGGTCACGCTCTTTGTCTGATATGTCAGAAGAAGAGATTGCAGATGAATTAAAAGATCAAGGGGTCACTGCTGTCAAACACTTCACAAGGAAACAAGATTCAGGCACTGTGAACACAAATACTTATCTGTTTACTTTTGGAATGACTACTCTTCCAAAATCAATTAAAGCTGGCTACTGCAACATCGGAGTGGAGTTATATGTACCAAATCCACTCCGTTGTTTTCAGTGTCAAAAATTTGGACATGGTGCTAAGTGAGTGAGTGAGTGAGTTGAGGTTTACGCCGCACTCAGCAGTACTACAGCTATCCGGCGGTCTGTAAATAATCGAGTCTGGACCAGACAATCCAGTGATCAACAGCATGAGCATCGATCTGCGCAATTGCATGGTGCTAAGTCCTGCCATGGCAAAACAAAATGTTCCCGTTGCAGTGGGGCTCATGCGAGCACTGGCTGCACAAATGACATGAAGTGTGCCAACTGCAATGGTAAACATATGGCATCATCAAAATCTTGCCAATATTTCGAAATTGAGTCCAAAATAATGAAACTCAAATGCACAAAAATCATGTCGTATTTTGATGCAAGGAAATTAGTTCAGTCAAACCTGAATACATCTCTTACCTATTCAGCAGCAGTTTCTTCTCCTACTGAAGTATTGGTTACCAAACCTGTAACAGTTTACACATCCTGCCAAACGGATATATCTTGGGTAAATGACAAGCAGCAAATAGTTGAGGAAATCAGAAAACAATCGTTACCAGGGTAACATCTCTTCAGCTTCTCAAACTGAAGAATCCTGTATAGAGCCAAGAACTGATACCGTATCCTCACCAGCAATTATAAAGAATGACGCTCACCTTACTGCTAAAGAAAAGAAAAAAATGGGAAGAAAGACGAAGGCTCTTCAACATTTGGAAGAATGGTTCACAATCTGTTTGAATCACTTGACATGGAGATCACTCCTTCACAAACAGCTTGAAGGAGTGGCACTTCTCCGCGCTCTCAATCTCCAATCGAACCCCCATGAGCAGATCTATTAATTTAATACAATGTAATTGTAGAGGACTTAGGAACAATTTTTCTGATCTACAATTGTTATCACAAGATTTCAAACCATCGGCTTTTAGTTTACAGGAGACATATCTAAAACATGACGATAAACTTGATATTTGCCAGTACCATTCACGTCATTCGTTTTCACCTCAAGGAAATAAAGCTACAGGTGGCGCTTCTATTTTGGTGAGGCAGGGTGTCATTCATAGCCCTGTCCCTCTAAAATGCAAACTTCAAGCTGTGGCAGTCGTTTGTCTTTACACATAACTTTTACTCTTTGCTCCTTGTAATTTTCTCCATCTTCTTCCCATCAGCAGTCCGATCTTCAGCATCTTTTTGACCAGCTCCCTAGGCCCTGTATCATCATGGGTGATCTAAATAGGCATAACCCTCTATGGGGAAGTATTAATGCAAATGCTAGGGGGAAATCCTTGAAGACTTCATTGGAGATAATAATTTATGCATATTTAATAATGGATCAGCCACATATTTACATCCCGGTACGGGAACATATTCTGAACTTGATTTATCGCTCTCAGATCCAAATATTTATAATGAGTTTGAATGGTCGGTCCATGATGATCTTTGTGGAAGCGACCATTTCCCCACAATTCTCCGACTGAATAAATCCGACTGATGAGCCGCCTGCAACGAGGTGGAATTTTAATAAGGCTAACTGGCCTTTATTTAAGACACTTTGTACTGACGAATTAAAATCTGTCTATTTTGTCAATGATATGGATCCTATTCAGTTATTCTCGGATAAACTGAATCAAATAGCTGATGAAACTATTCCTAAGTCCTCTGCGACACCACACATTCGTAAACCATGGTTTACTGATGATTGCAAAAAGGCCAGGAAGTGTAGGAAGAAGGCAGAGACATACTGTCGCCGTCATCCTACAGTTCACAGTTTAAATAATGTTAAAATAAATAGTGCCAAGGCTCGGCGTACTTTAAAGCAACATAGGCGAAAGTCTTGGAAGAACTTTGTATCAAAGATAAATTCCCGTACACCTATGACGAAGGTGTGGAACATGATACAGAGAATCAAGGGTAAAGGTACCAACTCTAGTGTTCATCACCTGAAGGATTGACCCAATCTAATAACTAATAAATCTGGCATTGCCAATAGGTTGGGTGAAACTTTAGCTGCACATTCTTCATCATCAAATTATAATCCTCAATGTCAGAAATATAGACATCAACAAGAAAAAAATGAATATTAATTTTAATTCTGACAATGGTGAAGACTACAATGAAGTGTTTTCACTACATGAGCTTAATACTGCCTTAGTACAAGCACATGATACAGCAACAGGAGTTGATAATATCCACTATCAGCTTTCAAAACATTTACCCAACTCATGTCTTGAAACACTTTTAAGTATTTTTTATACTATTTTGACAAGTGGACATTTTCCTCCTTCATGGCGTAATGCCATTGTTGTCCCTATACCTAAGCCTGGCCGGGATCATACTGATCCATCTAACTATAGACCAATTTCATTGACGAGCTGCATTTGTAAAACCATGGAACACATGGTCAATAATCGACTGGTATGGTTTTTAGAAACCAATAATCTTATCACGAACATTCAGTGTGGTTTTCGAAAGAATAGGAGTACTATTGACCATTTGGTTCGCTTGGAATCATTCGTTAAAAGTTCCATTGTAAATAACCAACATGCTGTATCAATCTTTTTCAACCTGGAAAAAGCTTAGGATACAACATGGAAACATGGTATTTTAAACGATTTACATGACTTTGGTTTGAGAGGTCGTTTACCTCATTTTATATCTCAGTTTTTAACTGACAGGCAATTTCAAGTCCGAGTGGGCTCAACCCTGTCTGATCATTATAATCAGGATCAGGGTGTCCCACAAGGCAGTATTTTGTCTGTGACATTATTTAGTATTAAAATAAATAGCCTTGTAAGGGTTTAAAATGATTCAGTCGATGGATTGCTTTTCGTGGATGATTTTAATGTTTCTTGTCGTGGTAAAAATATGCATACAATAGAGAGGCAACTACAATTATGTTTCAATAAAATTCATAAATGCTGACTTGAAAACGGTTTTAAATGTTCTAAATCCAAAACAAATTGTATACATTTCTGTAGAAAATATAAACCGCACAAAGACCCAGAACTATTTTTAAATGGCACACCCATCAAGGTTGTCAAGGAGGCCAAGTTTTTAGGACTTATTTTTTACTCTCATCTGACTTTCTTACCACATATTAAATACCTAAAGAATAAATGCCTGAAGGCACTTGACTTGTTGAAAGTCGTGTGTAATTCAAAGTGGGGAGGGGATCAAGCTACCCTCCTCCACCTTTATCGATCTTTGGTCCGCTTGAAACTTGATTATGGCTCCATCGTATATGGTGGAGCCTGCAAAAGCAACCTAAAACTACTTGATTCTGTCCACCACCAAGGCCTAAGACTTTGTCTTGGGTCCTTTAGAACCTCTCCTATTGATAGTCTCTATGTTGAGGCTGATGAGCCATCTCTTACACAACGCCATGTAAAACTATCTTTACAATATATTACAAAACTATATTCCAACCAGTCTAACCCTGCATATAACTGTATCTTCAATCCCCTCTATGAGGATTTATACAACAAAAAATCTTCTCTTGTTCCGCCTCTTGGGCTAAGAATTAAACCATTCATTTCTGCTGCCGGCATTGAGCTGGGAAATACATCTCCTTCCCGTCTACTTTCTCCTCCTCCTTGGCAACTGGTGAGGCCTGAAGTTGACCTAACTCTGACAAAGTTTAAGAAATCTGTAACTAATGAATTACAATATAAACAAGAATATAACCAATTAAGAAATAAATATAATACATACAAATCCTTATTTACAGATGGGTTCAAGGATGGTGGCGCGGTGGCATGTGCCACTGTCATTGGACCCCGAACAATATCTTCTCGACTACCACATAACAGATCTATTTTCTCAGCAGAAGCTAATGCCATATTAACAGCTCTTAAATATATTAATAAACACCGTAAATATAAACACTACATCATCTTTTCTGATGCTCTTTCTTGTCTTCAGGCTATTAAAAATCTTTCTTGTAAACATCCACTTTTATTAGAAATTATTGAATTGTATAATGATCTTGCTACTGGCCAATGCGACATCGTCTTTTGTTGGTTACCCAGCCACGTTGGCATTTCTGGGAACACAATGGCCGATCTTGCTGCTAAGGCAGCACTCAACAAATCTGTGACACCACTTCTGATCCCATACTCTGATTACAAAGCTGCTATTAGATCTTATATCCGTGATCTGATGCAGAAGAAGTAGGACAGCCAAGTAGGTATCAATAAATTACATGCAATAAAACCAACTATCGGTTACACCTACTTGGGTTGTCAGTCCAGATATGAAGAGGTCATCATACGACGATGTCGTATTGGCCCCACAAGATATACTCATGCATCCTATTGAAAGGTGAGGATCCTCCGTTTTGTATCCCTTGTGATGAGAGAACCACGGTCAAGCATGTCCTGCTTGACTGTGTTGAATTCTCCGTCATAAGGGATAGATATATTAATGTCAAAACAGTATAGGACTGTTTTGGTACTGTCAATTATCATTTAGTCATTGATTTTTTAAAAGAGATAGATCTGTTAAATGAATTTTGATGTGTGTTTTGTAAATAGATAAGGTTTTATAATTGGTAGTTTAGATTATCAACTTCGATTGTTAGTGGCTGTACCCTCAATGGGGGTTGAAGTATTGTAAAATTATTGTCCTCCTGAGAGGGTACGTAAGTCCCAACACATTTAGAGTAAATTTAGGCTTGCCACGTTTTTAACCGTAGAATATGTGTGCTTTTAATTTATGGCTAGATTTCTCTTCTGTCGCCAATGGCTGAAGGGATGGTGTAAATCCAACTAGGGTCCATGCAGGTAGCAAAAGTAATGTAAGTCCCCATGGTCCCTGGTATGGTGATCTACCTTCAGTTATTGGCGATTTATAGCCCATTTTTATACTGTATTGTTTTTCCCCTATAGTTAAAACATTTTAGATTTAATTACTAGTTTTACATACATATCTGTGATATTCTAGTTGTTTTGCTGTCCTTCGTCGGCAGGTGTTTTATAATATACATATATTTCATTTCAATATCAAATGTTCTCGTCACGATATGGCTGAAATATTGCCGATGTGACGTTAAATATTAACTCACTCACTCACTCATACTTTGTAGGGCCTTCAATTCATGAAAATATTGCCTTAGGAGGACTGAGCTGAAACCGCTATCCTCTATACTACTGGAATATATTCTGATTTCGTTGTGTATGATATTATTTCCCTTTTCATTACTTAATCTTCGGTACTATTCCTCTGGCCCTTGCGGGGCTGTGGGGTAGCCTAGAGGTCAAAGCGTTCGCTCGTCACGACGAAGATCTGGGTTCGATTCCCCAGATGGGCAGAATGTGTGAAGCCCATTTCTGGTGATCCCTGTCGTGATATTGCTGGAATATTGCTAAAAGTGGCGTAAAACCATACTCACACTGTGGCGCTTGCAGAACCTTAAGTTGAAAAACGGAACCTAAAAAAAACCTGTGTTTTATATCCATCCTCAGTTCTAAGCATACATATTCTGAATTGAAAATAAAAAAAAACCCAAAGGTTTTTACCTTTATAGGTGTAAACAGTGCTTGTGTAACTGATGGTATTTTAGCTTCTTCGGTACAATTTTGGGAACGCAGATAATTTTGTGAATCTCACATCTTTCATTGATATTGATATTACTTAACGGATGTAATATGACAGATTACAAAAGTGGTGAATCAAATAGCTTGAATCATATTAACCTTGTTAGGGAAGAATGGTTGAGTAGATCTGTCGATCGAGTAAATAGTGGGTGCTTGGAGTGTAGCTGATGCTGATATGAAAATACAAATATACAAGTTGGCAATACAGATAGTATGGTGCTGCCTGTGATCGTCTAAACAGTGATGGATGTAGGGCTTTACATATGCCCAAGTTTGGGCAGGATACGCTCTTCTATTCACAAAAAAACTGACATAGTGATTCATTTACACGTGCTCAGTCATCCTATCGTATAGTCCAATCACTAGAATTTCTGGTCCAGACTCGATTGTTTACAAACCATATCGTATAACTGTAACTCTGTTGAAGCAAATACATACTCACGATATAGTCAGAATTGTATAATCGACTCTGCTTTTAGCAGTGGTATCTTATGGATGTGGAAAGGGTTTTGTCGCTTCTACCTGTAGATATACTCGGCAGACTACCATAACACTTGAAATGAACATAATGCTACTTGCGAACAACTTTGAAAAGGCAATCATATGTCAACATAGTTTATTCAGTACTGAAATCATCCGATCTGAAACACAAATACACTCTTCCTGTAAGGAAAGCCCTATCATTATCTTGAAACTTCTAGATGATTTCAACATGAAGCGATATTTAAGTAACGGATGTTGTTAAATTATTGACATTTATGCCTGTACAATTCTTATTCACCCAATGAACATGGGAAGTGCACACTTTACTACTAGATACTACGTTTTTGTTTTAGGTGAAGGTCCAAGGTATGTCAAGGTTAAGTAGACACCGTTTATATATGTTTGAAGATACTTAGAGACTGTTTGGTATCACCGATTTCTCGATTAAACCATGCCCAACTTAAATCATTTTGGAAATATAAAGTAGTTATGTTGGTTCTGTGTTGTTTTTAAAAAAAATATCATCATTTAGGACTTTAGGAAATCATATACGTTTTGTGATAGTCTGCAGCTCCTAGTATGAACGAACCTGCATCACTTCTGATGGTATTGACATTGACCATGTTGTTTGTGTTAATGCTTTGACTTGAATATCCTGAATATATTTGAACAGTGAGGTTCCCTAGATTTTAGATCCTAACATGAAATCAGATACATTCTGAGTAGCAAAAAAAAATTAGACATTTCGACACAAGTTATGTGTCCAAAGTTTGATGATCAGCAATGCTTCAGTGTGATGATCGTTTGATGTTTATCATCATAAGTATTAGGGGCAGTGGGGTAGCCTAGAGGTTAAAGCGTTATTTCGTGGCGCCGAAGACCGGGTTCGAATCCCCAGATGGGCAGAATGTGTGAAGCCCATTTCTGGTGATCCCTGTCAGTGATGTTGCTGGAATATTCCTAAAAGCGCGTAAAACCAAACTCACTCAGTCAGTCATAAGTATTAATGGCAATAAGCAATTAGATAGAAACTGATACCGATATGTGTTGACACGATTTTTATTTTATTTTCGAATACCGAACCGTGTTTTATCTGTGTGGATGAAAAAAGAAGTGAATAGTTTTAGTTTACAGTATGGATAATGTAGACTTCATTAAATGTCTCAGCGTAATAATGTATACATCTAAATAAGCAAAGTTGTAAAAGTATAAAAAATAGAATGTTTCATTGTTTTGTGAATTTCTCGTGACAGAAGAGCGTCATATTTTCCGTCACCCGATGACAGATACACCTTATATCACTTGACACATGAAATATGCTCTGTGTATCATCATCCATTTTCCCACCATCGAAGTTTTTCTTAAAGGTTTAAAAAAGAAACATATAGAACCCCCCACCCCCTTTTTGACCAGTCTTTTCTAAACTAGTGTATGATATACAAATATGATCTGTTAGATAGGAAACTTTTTCATCATTTTTATTCACATTGCTGTGGAAAGTAAAGGAAATGGTTATGTTGAAAATGTAGGATTTCATTAGTAGCAGAAGACTGATAATTCAACAAAATATAAAACTAGATAAATGCGTAAGCATTTAGATCTTTAGCTATATGGTTGAAATACATTGTTCTGTAGAAAAAGTGATGTTTCGAGTCGTAATAGTTGGGTAGTTAAGTAGAGGGATATGCATGTGCATCAACTTGGTGAATGTATGTATAAATATATGAATGGGTGGATGGGTGGATGGGTGAAAACTAGATAACTGACTAAATCATTAAATAAATGTATTCTAAGTCACGTAAACTAATAGAATGAGATAAGTAGACAAAAATGTCATTAATAAATGAACAGAATGAAAAAATACATCAGCAATTAATAGATCAAAACGTCAATAAATCCGCTTTTCCCTCTTAATAACTTCATTTTTTTGTTTATTGTTTCTCCAAAATCCCCAAACAACCCTAAAAATGTAAGATAACCGTGTGTTTGATAGACTGAACTCTGTGCAGATAGTACGTAAGTCCCAAAACTTTCAAAGGAAATTTAAATTCACCAGCTGTTTTAAATGTAGCATTTCTGTCATTTTAATTTTGGCTAAATTTGACTTCAATCGCCAGCGGCTGAAGGGATGATATACATCCAGCTAGGGCCCATGCAGGTAGCAGAAGTACTGTAAGTCCCCATGGACCCTAGTATGGTGGTCTACCTTCAGTTGTTGGTGATCTATAGCCTATTTTTATATTGTGTTGTCCCCTATAGTTAAAATGTTTTAGATTCTATTACTATACTACCCATCAAAAGTTTAGACTCACTAGTGTAAATGTAGCCACTTACTTCAGTCAACTGTTTTAAACTAGATTTTGCAAAATAATCAATTCTGTTTAAAGGTACTGTGTACACATGAACTGATGTATTGTTGAACAAATTTGTAACGTTGAAAAGGTTTTTGTTATGAGTTCAATAAATGACGAAACTCAGTGAAAATTGGCGCATTCTTAACAAACCTTTACACCAAAACGCAGCTGTTCACATGCATGATATTTGCACATGCTTTACAGCAATTTGATGCATGATCCTCTTGCAATTCATCTGCATGTGGTTTGCAGTTCGTTCCCCAGGTTAGTGGAGAAATTCATCTTCGATGTAACCATATATATATACATAACATATAGTGAGTGTTTTAAGTGAGTCCAAACTTTTGATGGGTAGTATAGTTTTACATCTGTGATACTCTAGTTGCTTTACTGTCCTTTGTCGGCATGTTTTTACACTATCTATAGATATTCTATTTCAATGTCAAGTGTTTTCATCACGATATGGCTGAAATATTGCCGATGTGACGTTAAATAATAACTCACTCACTCACTCACTCACTCATGTGCAGATAACAAGGCTAATTCTGTTATTCATTTCACTCATCTGGATTTTGTCGGGGAATGCTTGGAACAAAACATTACTATCGCTCCAGGAAGTAACAACGAAATGTTATCTTTTGTGTGATGAGTTGCATTTCTATTTCCATTAGGTCATACGTGTGTACATATCTATTTTTAAACAATACCCCAAATACCCCAAACTAAACCTTGTCAAGCACCATAATCAAAATCACCCAGCGACTTGTAACGCTTGGCAACACGACTGTGACTAAACCTTGTCAAGCACCATAGCGGAAATGGTAAAAAATGTGCGTGGACATTTACTGCTAACCGTATCATGCATATCCCAGGAAGTGAGACATCGTTTCCCAATACTTGGCCCCTGCAAGTATGTGAATTAATACTTAATTAAGATGAATACCTTCAAAGTCATTTCTGTTACATTTAGCCTCAAGCTATGTCATAAAATGTGCATGATTGCTGATGAAAGATATTTGCCAGATACGACAGCATGACATAAGGTGAGATATGCTCCTGGATATTTTGCTTTTAAATTTTAGTATTTTGCATTGATATTGTCTCATTTACGGTACTGAAACAGAAAGTGAAGTGTTGAGTTATATGTTTGATGCGTAAATGTCTAAACGTCATGGCTTCTCATAATTTATTCACAAGTAGTCTTTCATGTATACGTCATTTCAACTCACAGTACAGAAACTCAAATCGAGTCATATTTTGAGAAATGTCATGTTTTTCATGTTCATTTTTCAGGTTGGAACACACATAGCACCTCGACCTCCAGACCAGGTAGGTGACATCTATAAATTGTAAGTAATTGAACGATGTTTCATAAACGGTCACATAACTATACTGAACTATCAGTTTGATATCAAATTTGTTTTGAACGGTGGTTGAATTGTTTAAGGCTCAGTAACTAATCATGCACAATTCTGCTATTTAGTCATGGAAATATCCAAAGATTGTGGTGTTTGTATCTAAGATTGACCATGGTTACGATCCAAAATGTCATTCATCTTTTCTCCATATTGTTTCTGCCGCGATATTCCTGCAACATTGCTGAAAACCTTTCTAAAGCACGCTCACTCCTATTTCCACAATATATATGATAATTGATGTGCGTCAGCTTTGGTGCTGATGGTTTGTCTGGTAAATTCTAACAAATGATAATGTATTTTGCATAATGTAATATACTGACTGTTATTGATTTTCCCTTTATGTTTCAGGTGAAGGAACGACAACACCCAAGCCCACACCGGCAGGTAAGCTTCCCTCCACATCTATGTATGCTCTATGACTTTGTGTACAGTTATAATTTGTCTCAGACACATCGTGACTATCAAACACCACCCACCAAAGACATTTACATGAACTGTTCTCTTCCATGAAAATATGTTTAAATTTTGCTTGTTCACATGACCAAACTACCTACAACATTGGACAAAACCAGACAAAGCTTATAACTTAGTGTTGCACTGGACAGCTGATTCTCCTATAATATCAATTCTACCGACACGGAGAATGATGGCAATCATATTGACAACGACATTAGAACCTATGTCGAAACGTCGCCTCCACACAATAAAAGACGTTGTATATCCATAAAAATTGTGATCATGCTTCATCAACTCAACTTCTAAAATGCCCATCAAAGAAGTTTACCCACACGCTTTGTGACTATAGACGTTTTTCCTGTATACATACACCTACGATATTTGATGATTCTATACATATATCCAAGGATACAGGTGATTTTGTCTTCTAAAAATCTTAAATGTGACCTGATTTTAGGTAACTATTTTGTTTTTCATTTATTGCAGAGGATCATAATACCTTAGCTATTGTGTTGGGAGTTCTTATTCCTTGCCTAGCTATTGGATTATTTGGAGTGTTTGGATTATGGAGATGGAGGAGAAATAGGTAATCCACTAATAACTGTCTTCCATGTAATTCAGTGTAGGTTCGTGAGGGTTATCCCCGTGTAAACTGACATTGCTCTTGACACAATATTCTGAAGAAATACGCAACTTTGTTTGAAAAACATTCCCTATAAAACAGGATACAGAACCTCTTTGACGAGATAAACTGTTTTCTTTAGACAATACTTGCGAGTCGAGCCTATACAGCTACGATTACCCTGGTAAGATTATTCTGAAAATAACAAACATAAAATAATGAACTACAATGGTTATTTGTTTGCTTGTCATCAGGTCACCAGAAGAAGGAGTTCCCACTGAAGCAGGCACACCAATGACATCAGTCAATACCTGACAAAGGGATGAGAAGCTGAATCTGAAGAAAGAGGCTAAATAGATATTTGAATTTGTCTGCATTATAATTTTTTGAAAGGATAGTTCCTGTAGATGTTTTCCTGATGTGATTAGCATGTGGAATTGCATGGTTTATCATGTCCAATAATGTAATGCCTCTGTAATGTGTATTTCTGATGAGTGCAAGACTTTCTATTTATGTCAGTATTTCCAGGTTAATGTATCAGAGTACATGGGTCACATTAGTTATTTTAGTATGTCCCAATAATACCACTGCCTCTCGTCTTGCTGACCCGTTCTTCGAAAGTTGTGTTACCCATTGACGTTCTGTTTAGTCTTCGTCTGCTCTTATGGGCTCAGTTTATAAACCAATTTTCAATTTCTGAGTGAAAGGTCCTTTTATCAGTGAGGATTCGCTGTATCTACAAGGTTTGTTTCTTGCTTCTATAGAGGCTCGTCTCTTTTATAGCATGTTTACACAACTGTAACACACTTAACCCTGGCTCGGAGTAAAGCATTATTCGGTAAAAATGACGAAAACTTACCGAGTCGTACCACCCTATCAGTCCTATTTGTCCGGGACGACGTGCTGGGGACCGTCTCCGTGGTGTAGTGGTTAGAGCATCCGCCCGGAGTTATAATATAGTTTATATTGAATTATAAATGAAAAGCAGAAATAGTTCCCCTAAAGAAATTCCTAGTCACTTTGCTGTGACAAGAAATTACAATTACTGTTCTGATAGACACATGGGCACACCAGTCTTTACTGTAAGGGGCGTCCTGTCTTTTTGGGTAATGCTCTCTGAAAACCCAGGTGTTATATTTGTAGCTTGACACATCAATGATGCCCTAATTTGACATTTACTGTATGATTCCATGTGCATCTGGCACATAACTTGCCTTTGCATGTGTTTGTGACTGGTGCCACCGGTGGGGCAGCATATGCTTATCTTTTGGCGAACACCTGGTGTCATCACTATTTTATAGTGATTCATCAACGCATGCTCATGATGTACCTGGAAACATACAAGTCTGCTTTCAAGAAAGATGTCTTAAGAAAATGGATTTTTTTGTGTTGGATGAAAGCCGGGAATCCCAACAACTAGACCACACTGGAAGCTGATAGACAGCCGGAATGTTGAAGGAAATGTTTTGTTATCCATTTGGTCTATACATTTCTGTGCCATGTGTGTAAAAAAACTGGTAATACGATTTTACACAATTTCTTTTGTCCTGGTCTTCGTCCGGATGTTTCACATTTTAGTGAAACGTGTCAGGCAGTATGGAGAACTAAACAATCACGTCTTTGACGGCGATACAAGCTAGCTATTTATGGAGACCTTCAGTCGTGTCACTGTTGATTGAGGTTGTAACCTGCCTAAAACAACCTCTGGTAACCAGATTTTGAAAACAATTATGTGCGCTTCGGCAATTGCATGCATCACTATGGACACCAACTTGCTCCACTTTGTGAAGACCCTTTCCTTTATGCACATATACAAGAAGTTCTGCTCGGTTGGCAAAGTCAAAAGAAGGTACCTGTGAAGATTAGATTGAGCTTCAGGCATATCTATGATCTGCTTTCCTTCAAAAGTCATCAGATATTCCCTTCCGCTGATCCACCTGAAGAAGAAGTACAGGAATCCAGTGAGACCGCCTCATCTGTTTCATGTTTAACCCTATCCATAAAGATTCAGAGTGCAATTTCCACAAGACTGTGGGACAAGAGGGCTAACTTCAACTTTCCAAACAGAACACTTTCCCTGTTTTGTTGACCAATATTCTTACAGTTCCGACCTTCTCATGTTTTCTGGGTTTTTTTTTCTTCTTTCGTTTTTGCATGTGAACAAATGACATGCCTTTGCATGTGTTTGTGGCCAGTGTCACCGGTGGGAAGGATACGCTCACATTTTCGCCAACACCTGGTGTCATCACTATATGTTACTAGTGATTCATACACACATGCAATCATGCTATAGTCGTACAGTCGACCCTTGTGAATAGGGAAAGAGTTTTGTCCCTTTGATTAGATCAAAATCTTCACCAAATTTGGCTTATACAAAGTAGTTCAGTCTGAAATTTCCCCAAATCATTAGTGAATTGGGAGTTCAACAGTTCAAATCTAATGTTTATCACCGTGAGTAACAAGGTGCATTGGTCCAATATTTGCGTAATTAAATATGTGGATTTCAATAAGAGTTTCGCAAAGTCTATAGGTTTTTCCTCATTAGTAGAGATGAGAGGTTGCACGAAGCATGTTTTTAGAAACGCTGGCATCATGTTTGACCTTCAGGACTTTCATCACTTACGCTGACATTTCCTTATTGTGTTCGATCATCAGTGATGAACATGGAAACTCCATGGATTCGCTGGTTAATAATGTCTGTGTTTGACCCTGACACGACTGACCAAGCATCTTGTCATGATCCATCTCACACAAAGGTGAAAATTGAGGGATGTCAACACGACGGCGTCTTTTATGTGTATAACTTCTAAATGCCTTTCAAAGACGGATGCCCGATCACGTTGGTCGTCTCATACAACCAGCATGGGTTGCTGAAGTACCAGTTCTACACCAGATCTTCAAGGGTCAAGTTTAACTTCACTTGTGAGAACCTGCTGACCTTCTTGTTGGTGTTGACTGCCACTTCTGAGTTTTCTTAGTTAACTTAATTAGACCATTCTACAGTTTGACAAGCAGCAAATGTGGCTAATGGTCTTTGTATTTCAACTTGTATGGCTAAATTATACATTTTGACTTCAGATGCAGTGTGTGTGTGTGTGTGTGTGTGTGTGTGTGTGTGTGTGTGTGTGTGTGTGTGTGTGTGTGTGTGAAAGCAATACCCTTCACATATTGTACCAGTGTTAGGAATTATGCGCTTTGAGTGTGACGAGCTAACGCCTAAACCACAAGGCTCCTCATCTCCTATCTAGTCGGGGCAGTGGGGTAGCCTAGTGGTTAAAGCGTTGGCTCGTCACGCCAAAGGCCCGGGTTCGATTCCCCACATGGGCACAATGTGTTAAGCCCATTTCTGGTGTCCCCCGCCGTGATATTGCTGGAATATTGCTTAAAGCGGCGTAAACCTAAACTCAGTCAGTCAGTCCTATCTAGTCTGTATGTGACAATCATCAGTAGGGGTGTGAACCTCAATACACAAACATTATGATACCTCGCATACTCAAATCATCAAAGTCATTCATTTTGTAGTCATCTTCCTGCAGAGGTAAATGGAAATCACAGATCACCCCACATGATCCCAAAATATAGCATTGCGTCTTCTCTGCACACACACACAACTAGTCTTAGATTTAGACTTGTTGATGTTTTCTGTGCATGCAGCTTTCAGGATTATGATGCAATATGTTTGCAACAGTGTAACATAGGAATCTATATATCCCTTGGGTGTATAATGGGAGCTGTGTTTTGTGTTTACTGGTTTAAGGTTCAGTGTGTGCATTAATCATGTTTTGTCTGTGTCCAATAAGTGAGGAACTATTTCATTTAATGCTTTTTCAATGACATGTTACTGTAGAATGAAATGTTGAATATACATTACTTCTAGTCCATAGCACTTTTCCTCTCGATCAGTAAAGTACTGGCGCAGATTGATGCAACTTCAACACCATAGACTTCCCTATCAGGTCTACGAAATGCTCAAATCTCTTTATGATAATAATAAATCTACTTGGACATCACGCATAAGAATAATTCTTTTTCAGTGTTGTTTTGGGTTTGTATGGATCTTTCAAGAAATTGGCTGCATTAAAACATAATTATATATAATATCTACCTCCAAACTGAGATTTTATGACTGCTTCCTTCAATACTGGCGCTCCTCACTTGACTTTTAATCAAAATGTAAATATTATTCACAATTTAAATCTTTACTTAATGTGGAACACTACTTGTCCTGTGACCTCCTACCATATCCACGGAATGTCAAAACCATGTTCCGCTGTAACTTCTTTAGACTTGCAGTGGAAACCGGCCACACAAATACACCTTATGATCAGCGTATCTGCCTCTACTGCCACTGGTCTAAACCATAGTTGGTCTAAACTATGCTGAAGACGAGCTCCATGTCCTACTAAATATTCTGAAATAAGAACGAAGTGTTTCACATTCCATCAGACTCATCCTCCAACAATTGAAACCTTTGTGCATTTAATTACCTGTATTAACATTAAATATATGAAAACATTAAGTACATTCCTCTCCACTGTGTTAAAATTAAGAAGTAAACCCACCATTATGAAACAATTAATCTTGAATTTCATTCTTCACCCTGTATTCAGCATGTATGTATTATTTATTGTACTGTGTGCAATTGTCTGTCTCCAGTTCGCATTTAAGCTGACTCCCAATAGCACCAATGAAACACTCAAAACACGAGGCGGGTTGCTTGCTGTTTCTCCACATCGCGATGTAGACCTTTTTATTTTCAAAACAGTTTCAGCAGTACAGACTGTGCATGTCCAGTTGTATGCAAATTTGGTTGACACAAAACCATATAACCCAAAACGGAATGCGATTGATCAGGTCAAACACTACATTTATATTTGCATTTTGTTTGTATTATGGGCCAATTATTGAAGTAAAATGTCTGTCTGTCTAGTCCATAATGGTTTGTTGTTGTCTGTTGTAACATATATACAAAACCTACAAAAGTATTAGTTGCAAGATGCTCTTGACAACTGCTCCCGGTATTTGGCATTTATTATGAGTCCAATCAAATACAAATTTTGTTTGTTTTTAGTATATTGATGTAAATGCTTTCCTGTTATTTTACATTGTGTGTTGTCTGTTTGCATTATATATAATCTGGAACACTATGAAAACGCAATTTAATTAAGAATGATTTAATGGGAAACTTGAATAGAGACAGTTAAGATTCCTTGTGGGATTTTCATTTGCATGTTTATCAAAAGAAATCTACCTGTATTGTGACGTTACATTTGATATAATAATTATTATTCACATACAGTTTACATTGTTTGCCATACACCATACATTCAAAAAAGCATTAATATTAAGAGGAATTGAAAATTGTGTTTTCAAAAGTTTTAGATATTTCCACTCTTTGCATTGTTAAATTTATCTTAATGTTTACCATGTCTTTACAATGGCTTAGTAGAATAGATGTTAGGCTCGTTTTTAAAGTGCTTACTCTTACTTTTCTTTTCGTTTTCCAAGTAACAACTGTGAGATTTCATCTATCATTTTATGGCCAGGATTTATCAAATGCATCTGCATTAGGTATCCAGTTTCGAAATAACGTTTTTTAAACTCCAAACAGACATGACACATGGGACATTCGGAATTTGAGATTGGATTGAGATTATTCTGTTTAGAAGGAATGAAATGACACGGAAAGATTCCTGACAAAATAACGATAAAGATACAATATAATTGTAACTAATTCAGTGTTTGCTTTACGTTTTCTTTTCAGCTCCCTTTTCGTTTGTTATTCAAGGATAATTTAACTCAGATTTAATGTACTAAGATGTTTGCCTCCGCCAATGCTTTGTAACAGCTTGTAGAAATTAATTTGAAATAAAAAGCGACTTTGTTTACAAGTGTTCTATGTTAAGATTGAAATTCCTGTTAAACTTTGTATGTGAGTGTTTGTTATGCGTGTGTGTGTATTGTAGCGTCTTGCCAGCGCTTGTGTGTCTGTGAGGGGTGTGGTGGGGGTAGGGTGTTGTCGCTTTTTGTCTTTTTGGCTGATGTAAGAGCTAATAATATTCTTATGTTTCCTTTCTTGTTTTGAATGAAAAACAACAACACTGCAAATGTAATCACATGTCACTTTATTTTAATCACGTGATGTAGATTAAAACCACTGTACTAGGTGCGGTGTACAGTCTGTACTAGCGTCGCTTTACACCCGGGTAGTAAGCGTTTCACTTTGGTTGTCCTTTCACACAGTATTGTGTTTGTCTGTGTATGAAGATGGTGGATGGAGGGACGTTTAGATATGTTCTCTCACATAAAGGTTGACTTTGTACTGTGGTTCTCTAAAGGAGGGGCTAAAGGTGAGGTGAGGTGAAATTGGGTTTAACGTCGTGCTTGAGAATATTTAAGCTCATATGACGGCGTGCATGCGTGTGTTTGTGTAATGCGGCTGCTTGTACTAGCCCAGACTGAAGTTGGTTTTATAGTGCTAGCCCACTGAGATACCATGCGCAGTGAAGCATGAATACCCCACTCAGACACATTATACTGACTCCGAGCCGACCAGTCCTTGTTGTACCCATTAATGACGAGCGCCAGGCAGGGACCAACAAGTACCATATTTTAACATCTTTTGGTATGACGCGGTCGGGGATCGAACCCGCGACCTTCCGCTCTCCGGGCGGACGCTCTAACCACTACACCACGGAGGCGATCGAGGGGCTAAAGATGGAGTGACGTGTAGATGTGGAACTGTTCCATCACATAAGGCTGCATCTGGTGCTAGGGTCCTGTGTAGAGGAGGCTGAAGGATTGGTATTTGTGAAGATGTGGAACTGTTCCCTCACATAAGGGTCCATCTGGTGCAAGGGTCCATCTGGTGCAAGGGTCCTGTGTAGAGGAGGCTAAAGGATGGAGAGACGTGTAGATTTGGAACTGTTCACTCACATAAGGCTGCATCTGGCGCTAGGGTCCTGAGAAGAGGAGGCTGAAGGATTGATATTTGTGAAGATGTGGAACTGTTCCGTCACATAAGGCTGCATCTGGTGCTAGGGTCCTGTGTAGAGGAGGCTGAAGGGTGGAGAGACGTGTAGATTTGGAACTGTTCCCTTAGAAGCCTCTCATAATCGTGCAGGGACAACATATCTTCGCTGTTGATGGCCGCATAAGGAGACTCATGATCATTTGCGTCACTTGATAGTCTATCTCCTACCACAGTTAGGTATGTACCGCATTTGCTGAGAAAACAAGCATGATATAAATGGTTACATAACACATTTACCGAATTCCATATGCATTACAATGTTGCTCAGGATGACAAATAGTGACTACAATGTGTTTCATGCATTTTGTCAAATACGATGGATACCTCATCGAGTGAAGTCAGAAAGCCATATCTTCACTTCAGGTTTGACAAACATCCTGAAATCGTCTCTTTATCACATTAACAGCATGAAGTAGTCTATTTATCATATTTATATCATATTTATTATATTTTCATGCCACAATTGCCCCCTTTACAAAAGTCGTCAGCTGATTCGTATTCTCTATCACTACAGTTATCAGCAGCACAAAGTAGTTCCTCGTTCAAACTTAAACAAATAAAAAACATACAGAATAAAGTCCGATATTTATCATTGATATTCCGTGTTTGGAAGAACAAGAATGTTACAAACATCATTTAAAGTTCTTTTGTGTTGCGCCAAAGGGAAGGCGCATTAATTAATGTAAACAATCCCATTAACGACAAACTCGACGCCATTTTAAAGCGCATGGACTCTTCTCAGTTGGATTTGGAACGCAAAATCCAGTACAATTTTAACACAGAGACACTTGAGGCCTTTCGTCAGATTGAATTTGGTCTTGAGTATGGAAAGTTAGACTACATTAAAGAAGTTGTGCAGAGCGAGGTATCCAGGATAGAGAATCGTAATAAGTTGATAAGAATAGCTGATTCTTCCGAAGCTGGTTGGGAGACGGTACGTCACTACGTGTCATGTGAGTTGGCTGAGAACTCTGATGATGACAGGCGTATTACGCGAGCAGAAAACAAGGCTATCAAGAAGATCAAGGCCAAGAATCTGCGATCTTCACGTGGACACCCGTATAGGCCGATATCACGACCTACCTCCAGTACCCAGTCCGTGCAGACCGGTGGGAGTGCGACGCCCGCTGATCCTTTGTCTACTAGGACTCCGCTTTTTCGTGGCCGGGGAGGTCAAAGGTCTGGAGCATGCTTTCACTGCGGTGACTTCTCACACTGGCGTAGGAATTGTCCCCTCTACGTCAGCAAACATGCCACGTCGGACAGACAGAGTTCAGCCTGATCAGAGTGGTTCTACTGATACGAAAGTTAAGTATCACAGTTTTTGTCAATCTCTCAAGGTTCCATCAGACAATCTGAGATTAACTACAGATTATTACGAGTATGAACAAGGACAGGCGGAAATAATGGTAAAAGGCAGATTGAAAGAAAATATTTCATTTTGGAAGTTTATCAATGCAAGTGATTTTTGTTATTGACATCATTGATAATGGCTACAGAATCCTTTTATTCATCCCCAGATAATGGACAGACGAAATAACAGGTCAGCGCTGTGCAATGGTGACTTTGTAGAAAGTGCTATTCATGATTTAGTCAAGAAGGGTTTGGTCGTTGTTTGTGACAAGAAACCTACTGTCGTTAGTCCTTTATCTGTTGCTACTCGGTCGTCTGGCAAGAAGAGACTGATTTTAGATCTATCATTATTAAACAGACATGTTTGGAAATGCTCTGTGAAGTATGAAGACTGGAGAACAGCTCTTATGTACATAAACAGAAATGACTGGTTGGTGAAATTTGACATACATTCTGCCTATCACCATGTACATATTTTCGACCCTCATACTGATTTTTTAGGATTTTCTTGGAGTATTGGTGGGGACAGAACATTTTACAAGTTTGTAGTTATGCCTTTTGGGTTGACAACTGCGCCTTACGTGTTTACTAAAATTACGTCAATTGGTAAAGTACTGGCGATCTCAGTCGTACAGATGTGTGACATTTCTAGATGATGGGATAATGTCTGGTGATAGTTTGAATAGTGCAAGAAGCATTGGGCTAGCTATCAAGAGTGACCTGATTAAATCCGGTTTTGTACCGAAGGTTGAGAAGTCGTTATGGGAGCCAAGTCAAGTTGTCGAGTGGATGGGTCTTGTCATTGATACCAGAGTTATGATGTTGTCCATTCCTACACGGAGGCTGGACAAGCTACTGTCGTCTGTCCGATATCTGTTAGATCATCCAGGTAAAGTTCGGTTCGATCTGTTGCTTCAGTTGTTGGCCAAGATTATTTCCATGAAGATTGTAGCGGGTTCCGTTTGCCAGTTGATGACAAGATCATTGAGTATTCAGACTCTTGAAGTTATTTCCTGGAGTGATTTGATTTCACTATCTCCTGAGAGTATAGATCAACTGATATTTGGGAAGAACAATCTGCATAATCACAAGGACTGTATGCTAGTAGAACAACGTGTGGTCACTAAAGTAGTATACAGTGATGCTAGTTCTAATGGGTATGGCGGATATTGTGTTCAGCTTGGCCAGAGTGAGATATATGGACACTGGTCTACAGAAGACGCGAATAAGAGTTCAACATGGAGAGAGCTGATGGCGGTGAAGGTGGTTCTTCAAAGCTTGGCTGGGGAGTTAGCCTCGCAGCGAGTAAAGTGGTTCACTGACAATACGAACGTTGAATCCATAGTGTGTAAAGGTAGCATGAAACCAGATTTGCAGGCTATTGCCAGATCTATATACGATGTGTGTTTATCTCATTCTGTGCATTTGGAAATGCAATGGGTCCCTAGCTCACTTAATGATAAAGCTGACTTTTTGAGCAAGGCAATTGATCATGATGATTGGGGAATTTCGCAATATATTTTTAGAAATCTGGAAAAGATGTGGGGAAGATATGATGTCGACAGATTTGCTTCTCATTACAACGCAAAAGTGTCAACTTTCTGTTCAAGATTCTGGGATCAAGGATGTGTTGCAATAGATGCGTTTACTGAGCATTGGGGTGATACAAACAACTGGATTGTTCCGCCTGTGTATCTTGTTTGTAGAGTTCTGGCTCATATGAAGGTTTGCAAAGCTAAAGGTACTTTGATTGTGCCAGCGTGGTACTCTGCCAGTTACTGGCCATTGTTGTGTCCGAAAGGAACTTTCATACCTGAGGTGCTTGATTTCGTGTATTTACCCAGAGACAAGGAAGCTTATGTACCCAGCCGGATTCCAGGGGGTATGTTTGGTGACAGAGACTTAACCTTTGACATGTTGGCAATCAATATGAAATACTGATTAACTTATTCTCTTTGCAGATGTCTTTGAGATTGCGTACGCTGATGACATTCATAGCCTTTCAAGTGGACGAGAAGTAATGGTATGCCTGTACATTTTCCTATAAAACCTTTACATTGTGCCATTTACCTAGTTTCTGTGATGCAACTAAGCCATTCTTTTTCGCCCGTTCATGCGGCTTTTTATAGCATTCGTCATGCTCATAGTATTATAGGCTTGCCCAGTCCTACTGATAATCTTCTGGTGAGAAATGTGTTGGAGGCTGCTAAGCGAAAGTTGGCTAAACCAGTGTGTAAAAAAGAGCCTATATCTATCGATATATTAGAAAGTTTGGTTGATTTTTATTCGGATACAGGATGTTTGAAAGATGTCCGCATTGTGTCAATGTGCCTGCTTGCCTATGCTGGGTTCCTGAGATCTGCAGAGTTGCTCTGTTTGAGACGCACTGACATTTTGATTTATAAAGCTTATATGATGGTTTTCATTGAGAAATCAAAGACTGATATGTATAGAGACGGGGCATGGTTATTGATCAGCAGGACAAGTTCCAAGATGTGTCCAGTCATGTGGTTGGAGAAGTATCTGGCGTTAACGCAGTTTCCCGAAGAATCACAAGAGTACTTGTATAGGAACATTTCCAAGTGCCATGATAGGTTTGTCCTTAGAAAAGAAAATAGAGCCATGACTTATCCTCGTTTGAGAGAGTTGTTTATTGAAACGTTTTCTCCTTTCGTTTCTGATATTAGACAGTACGGCTTACACAGTTTGCGTGCAGGTGGTGCCTCTGCGGCTGCTAACAGTGCCATCCCGGACAGGATGTTTAAGAGGCATGGCAGATGGAAAAGCGAGAGCGCTAAAGACGGTTATGTCAAAGATTCTGTTTGCAAGTGTCGCAGTCACTTGGCCTCTAGTTTGCCCGTTCTTTGAGTCTCGCGGTGGTGCACAGCATAGCCATCCAATGTGTGTTATGTTATTTGTTGTATTGTGTTGCAAGGGCTAGGAGAAATGATATTTTTATCGTTTGAGGGACGAATGAGATAGAAATTACTTTCTCCTAGCGTAGGGGAATACAACAAAGGGGTGTAATTCAGTCGTAGGTGGCGCCTAATGAGAGTATATAAGGCGTATGATATTTGAATTGTCATTCTCGCTTGTTGTGGACCAAGTATACATTGCGTCATGGATACTTCTGAAAAGTTTTGATATTGTACTTTAACCTATTCTAAATGTTTCAGGTCATTGTATGGCTCGGTGCCATGAGAGCAGCTCCTCGCTGTCTGCATGCTCGTTGCTACAGGAGAGGCTCGTCGCCTTTTGAGAGGCTTGTCGCCGTTGGCTATGCTTGGAGCCGATAGAGGCTTGTCGCCACTTGAGAGGTTTGTTGCCATTTTGAGAGGCTTGTCGCCGTTGGCCATGCTTCGCGCCGATAGAGGCTTGGCGCCACTTGAGAGGCGTGTTGCCATTTTGAGAGGCTTGTCGCTGTCGGCCATGTTTGGTGCCGACTGAGAGGCTTGTCGCCGTCTGCTGGGCTCGTTGCCAGTTATATTGGTTTGTCAGTGTCTCTGAGAGACTTGTCGCCTGCTTCCGTTGAGGCTTGTACATACTTGTAAATATATATACTCTTCTTTCACGCAATAAACCGCGGTGGTGCACAGCATAGCCATCAAATGTGTTATGTTATTTGTTGTATTGTGTTGCAAGGGCTAGGAGAACACCGCGGCGATGACGGCAAGGATCAGTGGTCCGGCCTTCCTCGTGGGATGTTTGTCGCGCGACAATCAAACACTACGCTACAGACAGCAGGATGTCAGTGTTTTGTAGCATGAAAGGTAAAGGAAGCGCCCCACACAGTCATATATCGCTGCCATACCTGCTTAATGACTTTGAAACGCCTTCTCATTACGAGGCCTAATTGATCTTAATTGGTCTCACCAGTTGTCCCAATTTTGGCAGTGAGATACAACACCTGCATGGTCCAGTGCACAACAGACTGCCAAAAATGGGAAATCACCGTTTGCTGGATGCTGGAAACGCGGGATTTCGATGCACTGTGGCATATCGTGAAACAATTACGTCTTTTGAATAAATTATGTTTTAAAGAAAGTTATTGAAATGGTTTTCATTATAACAATTTTATACATACCTAACGTTATGACCATCTGTAATTAAACATTATCAATTAGCAAACTATCAACTCAAGAGATATATCAAAATATATATATAAATGTGATATTTCTAAAACAAAACTATAATTTGTCGTGGCATAATTGTTTAAGGTAATGGTAACGCTACATGTCGTGTTACAAGCAATGAATTTTCACAACACCAATGCAGTTTGATTTCACCGATATTTGTGGCATACCACTGCTGATAGATTAACTGTTTGGTGAAACTCATCAACTATTTAAATGGTCTAAGTTATTTGTAGGCGGTGGGGTTAGCAAGTAGTTAAAGCGTTCACTCGTCACGTCGAAGTCCATTTCTGCTGAAGCTGGAATATTCCTAAAAGCGGCGTAAAACTACACTCACTCAACCTAAGTTATTTTGTTCACTCTCGTGCGTGAAATACGTATCATGTCGGGAACCGCACGTAAAATTTCAAAATCATCATCACTAGACCAGTCTGACGGGGACACTTAACCGCAAGCTTCCTTGTTCATATTTGTGAGTGCACGTTCATTATGTTTTCCGTTGTTGTTCATCTGACTACATATGGAACATCAGTTGCCACACAGTCAGGTTTTATAAGTACAACTTCAATGAGGAATATATCAGTACATACGTCGTGCATCCTTGCAGACAAGGACGGCAACTGCTGCAACTACAACTGAGACAGCAGTGAGGATGATGGAGTAAGCTGCAACAACAGGGACGATGTCGACGTTGGCAAGTGGTACTGGAGACAAATATACTCTGTTAATGAAGATGATAAGTTGGTTGCTGTTTAACGCCGCACTCAGCAATATTCCAGCTATATATAGGTGACCTGTAAATAATCAAGTCTGGACCAGACAATCCGGTGATCAACAGCATGAACATCTATCTACTCAATTGGGATACAATGACATGTGTCAGCCAAGTCAGCAAGCCTCACCACCAAAACCCTTAATTGCCTCTTACGACAAGCATTGGTTACTAAAGACCACTTATAATCCGGATCTTATGTGGGTTATTAACAATGAAAAATGCATCTGTACATGTACAAGTACGTTTTGCTATTGTGAGAACATTTAGTTTATGAGTTCTTGAAGGGTGCAAGACGAGCTTCAGTGTCGTAGGTTTGAAGTCAGTATAGATTTAAAGGCTTTTTTGACCAGCTCGAAAGTTAATTTATTATTTATACGCAATGACCATATTACAATTATGTAGTGTTTGGTTTTCATTTCCTTATTGCCACATGGTAACTCACCGTCTATTTCCTCATACCTCCCATATGTTTCCACCTCACGGATATTAAGCACCACGCTGAAATTCAGACTTTGGAATTAATTTTAGTTCAGGTTATTGGTGGAGAAACATTTCCTGTATCGTGATGTACGTAATGGATGTTAAACTATGGCTATATCTGGAGTATCTGCCATTCGTAATAACTCGTCCCTTTCCGTAACCTCTCGTAGCCATGTCCGGGAGAAATATTCCCTCTGCCAATCAGGATACGCGTATGTAGAGAAGAAATTGGGTCAAACTAGTTAGCTGAAATCATTTTCATTTTGGTTTGCATAATTTTTTCACAGACACTTCAAGTAGATTTTAATTATTGCATAGTCCTCCTAAGTTTCCTAAATTTTAATAGCCAGGATATATTAACATTATAAAGTATTTAAGCATGTTAAACACAACCTTGACTATTTATTTCTCTCTGCGCTGTTGCGCTCAGACAGAGTCAAGTTCAGCAAAATGGCTACGAGAGAGGTACGAGTCTTCTTTCAGGTTACGGAAAGGAACGAGTAGTTACGAATGGAGTATTTTCCAAATTAAACAATAAGCTATATTATAATACACTTAAGAAGGTTCTGTTTGTACTTGCTATTTCTTAAAATGTACATGAAAACATTCCCGAATTTCATCCTGATCTTCCACTGATGAGGAAATGCACTGACAGTGAAACGTTACAGTTATCATTGGTACGAATTCTAAATCGAACTACAATTATTCGCGATAAATATATTACATGCCAATGATATGAAACGATAATTACCCAGCAGAATGTCTTTCTGAAATAGAATAGACAAGAAAACACAGACAAAGAAACGTATGAGAATAACGAGTAAATGTTGAAACTGAACAGACTATGAATGTTTCATCCTGCTTTCTATTTCGTGAGTTGTCATATTTACAGCATGAAATACGAAGACCATCAGTCATGTTTGCAGAAAGGGCAGAGAAAAATTCATATATTCTGTTCGGGAAGTAAATCATTCGAGTGTGGTTTGTTTTGTTGGCTGTTTAACGCCGGACTCCAGCTATATTCCTGCTATATGACGGCGGTCTGTAAATAATCGATTCTGGACCAGATAATGCAGTGATCAACAGCATGTACATCGTTCTACGCAACTGGGATACGATGACATGTGTCCAACAAGTCAGCAAGCCTGACCAACCGATCCCGTTAGTCGCCTCTTACGACAAGCATGGGTTATTGAAGATCAATTCTAACCCGGATCTACACAGGCCCAGTCAAGTGAGAGGTGTATGGACCTGCACCAAGGAGTTCACATGGCTCCTTTCTAATTCCTCACATTACATGCATGGTATTGTCGTGATATCAACTGACAGTTAAAGGCATGGTTTGTATACTGTTTTCCGTTTGGACCAGAACACATGCTGCTGATTCCGCTGTGAAACCGAACCATGAAGAATGGGGTAAGAATGGCAACTCATGCTTGTCGTAAAAGGCGACTAAGAGGATCCGGTGGTCTTGCTCGCTGACTTGGTTGACACGTGTTAGACACAAATGTCGTCGTATCCCAGTTACGTAGATCGATGCTCATGCTGTTGATCACTGGTTTGTCTGATCCAGACTTTATTACTTACAGACCGCCAACATATAACAAACAAACCCACCAACCGTTGTGAAACCAGGAAATATTTCAGTTCAACATAAAGAGAAAGAACAGTTTTTACGATGCACGGATATCAGCCGGTAGTCACGCGGACAACGGGATGCTGTACTAATCTCGTATACAGAAACTGAAACGTTTTAGTTTTCATGTATTTCCAGTTGCCTCATACACTTACGACGGGTTTGAAGCTGAATATGACTGTCATTGTCCTCCATATTTCGTGCACCAGATCTGAAACGTAGATAACGTTCAATAACAGCTGATTAATTTATTTTAACTGTAATATCTAAACCACTTAATTGATGAATCACCGCTTTACCTACTGCAGATACAGATGCCATACTACAAACCATTGTAGGAACAGTCAGTATGTTCAGTATGGTTTTAGGCCGCTTTGAGCAATATTCCAGCAATGGTAAAACAGCAATGGGCTTTACACAAGCTTCATATACCACCAGTGTTCGTACCTGTGCTGACGATCTTCTGAAAGGTAAACGAAACCCAATTATGCAGCAAATGTAAATCTACGACACTATCAACATCGAAACAACAATATTAGCCATAAAATATTACCATCAAATTTTGAAAAGAATTGAACTGAAATGAACTACAGTATAAATTATAACATATATAATATTCGTTTTAACAATACCTTTCTTCACTCTTTTACAAACACATATCACAGCAACAGCAGTGATGATGATGATCAGGACAGAGGGGACAACGGCTACAGGGACAGCGACAACGACGATGGGGGGTCTAGGTTCTAAACCATCTAGAAAAAAGATGAACTCAAAAGGAACATTGGCACGTTGGCTTTTGGATTGCAATGAGCTATGGTTTAGTGCGGGTCCCACTACCACATCCCAAAGACCTCGTTTAAAGGAGCGGTAGCTTAGTGGTTAAAGCTTTCGCTCAGCTTTTTTTCAGCAGGTGTCTTCGTGGGTAAGTTCAGTTTTAGGAAATTGGAAATTGTATGGCATCCCTGGCATCTTATTTAAAGTCTTTTTTGCCTTATGTCGTCAGGATATGTATGAGGACTTTGAATGGATACGTATGGATTGCTACCAACAATACCAGTAAAGAAATAGAACACTATTCCATTCATGGTCGTGCATTATAAAATCATCTACATTGCAAATCCGTTATTAAAGGAATGGTTGACATCCGCAAGAAAGCTTTTTACGAACTCTCAATCAGAAATCTTGAGACTTCTAAAGTTGCTTGTATTGCCAGGGCACCTAGAGTGATACATTGTGTGTAGTTTGATGTTTCCAGGCTATGTAGCATTCTTACAATACAATTACGTTGAATATTCGAACCGTGAAGACCCGGTTTAGAATTGATGTTCAGTAACCCATGCTTGTCGTAAAAGGCGACTAACGGGATCAGATGGTCAGGCTCGCCAACTTGGTTGACACATGTCATCGTATCCCAATTGCGTAGATCGATGTTAATGTTGTTGATTACTGGATTGTCTGGCCCAGACTCGATTATTTACAGACCGCCGCCATATAGCTGGAATATTGCTGAGTTTGGCGTAAAACTAAACTCACTCACACACTTACGTTGAATATCCAGCGTCAGGTTCCGTGATGCACTCCCATGTGTGTTGTTGACGTGACACGTGTACAGTCCAGACACAGATACATCTACAGCTGGTATAGACAACACAGCCTCCCCCTGTCCTGTAATCACCATCTGTCTGGAGATGTCCCACCAGGTTACAGTACAGGCAGGGTTACAGTCAGCAGAACATCTCACTTTTAGTAGGTCACCTTCTGATGCATCTTGGTTACCGCTAAACAGCAACGTATCTGGTCCATCTGAAAAGGACCAAGAATGTGATATATTTTTCTGTCATAAAGTATACCTTGTCATTGTATAGCTATACGATATATAGTAACTGTGATGTTGTCGTCTTCCAAAGGTTAGAATACTCGCCCCGAGCAACCTTGCTGGTCATGTGGGACGACTTGATGGACCGTGTTGTTAGATGGTCAAGTCTTCTGATTTGGTTCGTAACCATATTATACTAATGGTTCATTTCTTTGTAAACCGACCATTAAATATCACAGTGTACCCTTTCGTCTTTTTAGTTCTCTACAAGGTTGTGTCATATCTCCTATTTTATAATGGTTTAATATATTAATGGTATTTTATATACTAATGGTATCAACAACTCTGATAACTGTTTTATCGTGAGCGTTTCAGAATATTGCAGTTTCTCATCCCTTGTCGCGATGGAATGTGTGGAGTGGTATATAAATGTCTGCACACTAGCCTACGGACAAACTGTTTACATATCAACATTTGCTAAATTTTTGTTTGTCATTATTTCCCGCATGATAGTAAAATATTTCATTGAAATAGGATGGCAGGCTAGAGTAAGATATCATTTAAGGGATCCAAGACTCTACACCTCTTGGGTTACTTGTTCAAGAAAACATTTTCACTTCGCTGACACCAACCATTATTCTTGAAGGGGGGACCAAGTTTTCCATGTCACAAAACATTTAACTCGTATGAGAGTGAGTGAGTGAGTTATTACTTGACGTCATCTCGGCAATATTTCAGCCATATCGTTACAAGAACAATTAATTGGTATACATAGTAAGTAATAGTAAATTATAAAAAAATAGTCTACGAAGGACAGTAAAATAACTAGATTATCACAGAGACGATTTTTTAAAACTAGTAATTAAATCTAAAACAGTTTAACTATAGATGACAATACAATATAAAAACTGGCTATATATTGCCAAAAACTGAGGGTAGATCACCATAACTAGGACCATTGGGACTTACAGTGCAGTTGCTTCCTGCATGGGCTCTAGTTGGATTTACACCATCCCTTCAGCTATTAGCAATTTTGGATATTCAAGCCACAAATTAAAAGAATATATATTCTACAATTAAAAATAATAGTAGATTAAATTTACATTGAATGCTTTGGGACTTAAATACCCTCTCAGGAGGACAATAATTCTACGATACTCCAACCCCATTTGAGGGTACAGCCACTAGCAATCGTATGAGAGACCTTACTCCTGGATATACATAGTTGAGCTGAAGATACTGAATGTATCTTTGTTATTGTTGATATAATTTCCATATTAATCAACCTCAACTCACACAGAACATTGAGAGTGTATCCCTGACTCCAATCTGACAGAAGTCCTGCTTCTCCAGATTGACACGTGTACAATCCCTTGTCCTCCTTGGTGACGTGGTCTATAGTCAAGAACTGTCCTGCCACGTGTACTCTGTCATCTATGTATACACTCCTGTTGTTTCTCCTCCAGGTGTATGACGTGTTCAGAGTGTACTGGTACAGAGACCGGTCTAGAGGAAGACTCCGGGAGGTGGTGGAGCAGGCCAGGTTCACAGGATCACCAGACACAGGGTCTGCAACTGTCGTGCTGATGTTCGGTTCCGATGGTTTCTCTGAAAGAATAAGAATGGAACTATTTGTAACCTTGCCCTAATTCTGATGTATTAAGGAATAATATACATTAAGATGCATTATACATTCAGTAAATTTCAGTCCCCATATGTCATAATGTCGTTTGAACGGAGTGTATGTTTTGATTGGTTTATGTGTCTGAATATTTGAATGCGATCCTTGACCTTTTTCTACCCATCCCCAAGAAAGCTAATGTATATTTGAGGACGAATATTGCATTTTCAAATTAATGACAGCATTAAATATTGTTGACCACGTCTGTGATATTGGTGATAAACATCTGTACGGAGGGGGGCAAAGGCAAAACATAAAAACATTCTTGCTTCTCGTTACCGCACGACCCGAAAATTCGACTCGACCCTAAGAAATTTACAAATTTTAACACTAGAGAAAATAAATTTGACTCCCAAAATGTGCATCAATTTTCACATTTCTACGTTTCGATTTTCTATAGAAGAAAATTTGTAAATTTCCACAGAAATGAAGCTGTTTTGGACATAAAATATAATAGAACGTAAACATTTTTTTATGTTTGAAAAAGTGATGAGAAACAAGAATATATTTTTTATGTGGCCTTATAGAGAGGTTTTGTATCTTACATTGTACACACAGGCATAAATGCAATACAATATTGAACTCGATTATAAAACCGTATTTCAGCTCACGTCTCCAAGCGATGTTAATAGTTTATGGTTATTGTTTGCCAAACGTGGTTGTCATAACTACGTGTAAGTGACAGATAGATAGATAGATAGATGAGGATAAAGCTTTATGATATCGGTCTTCGCTATAGAGGTCAGTCCCCGCAACGACATCCGTGTAAAAGTGAGTGAGAGAGTTGGGTTCTACGCCGCTTTTAGCAATATTCCACAATATCACGGCGGGGGAACCCTGAAATGGGCTTCACACATTGTACCCATGTGGTGAATCGAACCTTCGGCGCGTCGAGAGAACGCTTTACGACTAGGCTACCCAAACCCCCAACCCCACCCATCCCTGGTGTAAAAGACATTGAACTAAAATTCTAACACCATAACGGAAGAGTTTTTAAATATCCCCTCCAGGTATGGATTGTTTTCAACTCAGATAATCTGCATGGTTCCGCGATATGTCGATAAATGTGTCTCAAAAACAAGCTTTTGATGTGGATTGTCTATTTGGGAAACTAATCGTGGTCAAATTATCTTTAGACTTACGGAGTACAATAAGAAGTTGAGTCCGCATCTCACGAGACACGTCACTGACATGCGTGCCTAAGATGTATACTCCGGCGTCCTTCACGTCAACACTGCGGAATGTGAGACTGACCAGCGTCCTTCCTTCCAGGGATGTATTGAGACTCAGCTGAATCCTCGTCCCGTTCTCTGTGTGTGTGTTGATAGTTGCAGGCAGAAGTCGATTTCCCCTCACAATGAACTGGACAGTGGAATCATTTGGCTTGAGTTTCTCCTTATGGTATGTGGTAGAATATATCTTAAAATCCGTAAAGGACTGGTTGATACTCCAGGACATATTGACGCTTTGTCCGACACGGGCGACAGTGTTGGAATGAGAAGCTGAAATTACACATGAGGACAGTATACAGTTGATTAAGTGAAAGGTACATGCAGAGATGCATGGCCATACCCACAATGCCAGAAAATGATCTACCAGACACCAGCAGCTTTTTATGTAAAAAGTGGAATCATTATCATTTCCTGTTATGGTGGTTTACCTTATACTCACGAACATGAGATAAATAATTGGTATCTAACCCATGGCGTATAGGTGAGTGGGCGAGTTAAGTCACATCGGCAATATTTCAGCTAAATCGTGACTAAAAACAAGTTATAATTGGTAGAATAATTCATCATAAACCTGCCGGCAAAGGACAGTAAAAAACACTAGAATATCACAGATATAATTGTAAAACTAGTATGAAAATCTAAAATATCTTAATATCTTAACTATGAAAGACAATAAAAAATTAACAAGTGATTGCCACTAATATGGCAATGTCCCCCGCCGCTGAAGAAGAATGAAATATTTATAACATATTTACTACTTTTTACTTTTTGGTTGCATAAAAGAAATGACTGGTGTCTGCATAATCACCCAATGTAGGCTGTCGACATAATTGAAGACATTGGGTACAACAGTTCATGAGATATCGCGTTAACAAGAGTTTGTAAAGTGGTCAAACGTGTCGTGGTGACCTTGAAGATAAGGTCAATTTCTCTCTATTTACCTATCTGTCTAAGGTGACCTTGAAGATAAGGTCAAGGTCACCCAAATCAACTGGTGTCTGCGTAATCGCCCAATGTAGGCTGTCACCAATAGTAGGTAGTGAGATGAGCAAGTCGTGTTTACATCGCTCATGGAAAATGTGAGTTTTGTCGTGATTTGAAAGTGCGAAAACTCTTGAAAATTACACAGTTGTGTTGTAAGCAACACAAGAATGTCTTGCTAAAGTTGTTTTGTTGAAAAAGTGACTTTGAGAGAAAATGCAGCCTGAAACTGTATTTCTCTATATAATACTTTCAAGTTTTCCATGATAAACTCTCGGTTTGAGTTAGCGCTTACCACTTGAATGGACCCAACAATGAGCGACGAGGAACACTTGTATAACACCGAGCCCAGCGACTCACAGGACAAAGAGATATACTTGGAGATCAAGCGCAAGTTTGGGAACAAAGACAAAGACTCTTTTCAAACAGGCTTGATTGAAGTATACAGAAATGACCCCAAGGAGTTAAACCACATACGAGAAAGTCTATACGACTATGCTAAAGACACTTGCCATGAATTTCCAGCTGGTAAACTCGTATCGAGACGGAACAAGAGCAATGATAAAGACAGTTTTCTCAACAAATATGCACAAGATGTGTACTATATCTATCATTATTTGGAAGGTGGAATACCGGATCATGTGCTACAGTCGAAGGTACTTAGTCGCGCCAGCGTGAGAAACCAAGGCAATCAATCAGTATTTGATGACGATAATGAAGGAAACAACATAGACAAGACAACTGATGACGTCACTACTACACACGGTGAGAATGACTCAATATCGCTTATTCTCAGCCATGTAATACAGATTAAGCAGTGTGTCTCTCGTGGAAATGAAAATGTTGAAAAGAAGATTAAGGAATTAGAAAACAAGTTCACAGATGAAGTCCTGGCCCTAAAAGAAATAATCTCTGAGAAGGATGCTCTAATAACCAATAAAAATATCAAACTGAAGGACTCGGAAGATAGGCGTGCTGAACTTAGAGCTGAACTGAAGCTAATCACTCAAGAAAACAAAAGCTATCGTGACCATATAAAAGACCTCGAAAGTGAAATGCTTCGCCTAAACTACTCAGTTGATGCAAAACTGAAAATCATTGAAACGAAAATCAACAGTATCACCGCAAGATCTAAACATACAAGTGCTACAGAGACCAGAACTACAAGTACTAACTGTGAAAATCAAGAAATTCAAAGCAACTCTGAATCTACAGAAACGACGAGAACAGGTCCATGTGTTGTGCCAAGTCCCCCAGTTGTGCCCCAGCAAGACAGGACCAAACAACAGGACTTCACATTGCAACATAAACCAGTTGAACCAGTGCGGCATACGAGGAACACTACATCTGGTAACAACACCGTCTTAGATCTTACTGATAAGAATTATCAATATGACTTTACATATACACAGAACAGTAACCAACGCGACCAGTGTGAAATAGAGCCATGGGAAATTGTCAGTTCTGACAAACATAAAGACAAGCTACATAGAGAACGTACGACACAGGGTAAGCCAACTTCCTATCCTATCAAATCACTTGCGAAATCTTACAATACCTTAGAAGGAGTTCCAAGGCTGCGTAGTAAAAGGATTGTGCTGTACAACATTAAAGCTGATGATTCATTTGAATGTGTAAAGAACTTAATATTTGACTATGCTCATGAACGGCATGTTCGTATAACGTTTGTGCGACTTTTGAAGAAGAGACAGAACTATAACTACCAGGATACTTATACAGTGCAAGTTAACATTGACTTTGATGATTATGAAGCTGTTGTGTCAGGTAATCCAGAATTCTGGCCAGCGGATATTAGAAGTAAGGACTATGTTCCTAAAAGCAGGATGAGATACTCATATGATCAAGCTGACAACCACAACTTTTAAGGTGACTATGTTTGATATGTTATTTAGACAATATATCATGATGTATATAACTTGTATTCATATCCTTATGGCTCTATCCTTTCTGACATGGAATGTGAGAGGTGTTTTACATGGTTCGGACTATATAACCAAAACTTTGTCACTTCCGGTTGACGTCATTGCTCTACAGGAGCACTGGTTATCTGCAGATAACATAGACAACTTAACAGCATTTCATGACACTAACCTAATGGCATACAAAGCTGTTCCTCGTAATCTTTCATGTTCTAGGGGTTCAGGTGGATTAGCCATTTTAATTAATAAGCAGTGTAACTGGAAAGCGGAAGCTGTCTCAACTCTCACAAGTCATGCAATAGCAGTCAAACTGTCCCGTAAACATCATACAGATGTTTTTATTATTGCATGTAGACTGCCCTCAACAAATGTACTACACTCTGTTTATTGTGATGCACTTAATGAGATTTTAGACATTTATGATAACCTCTGTCAGCTTGGTACTACTATTATCATGGGTGATCTCAATGCAGATATATGTAAACACCCCCTGTCTACACGGGCCAAGCATCTCAATAACATGGTACTTGATAGATACCTTTCACATGTTGTTGATGCAGTACGATCCAGAGGACCCGGATTTACATGTCGATCCAAAGATAACCTCTCTCAAAGCCTAATCGATTATTTTCTTGTTCCATCTTGGGTTCAGGGCTATGTTACAAATTGTGAAGTGATAGACTCATGCCCTTATTCAGTATCCGATCACTTTCCTTGTCTTATGTCCCTTTCAGAACACGTCCTACGCCGTGATGATTTTAACCAAAACCCTAAAGTCCCAAAATGGAACAAAGCTAACAGGGACAACTTAGATATGTTTGAGTATGAAGTAGAAAAATATCTCAGTTTTGTATATCACCAAGGCACACAATCTACAACTGATCATTGTCAAGTTATAGAAAACCATTGTCACATTATTACTAACGGCCTTATACAGGCCAGCTGTAAATGTATCCCACAAAGTACATTCAAGCCTTATCTAAAGCCATACTGGAAACAGGATGGTTTAGATAATGCCCACTACCGTATGAGAGTTGCTCGTAGAGCATGGGTTAACAGTGGTAAGCCCAGAGGTGACGACTCGGATGTATTATTATCATATAAAACTGAAAAGTCAAACTTTAGACGTCTGCATCGAAAATCTAAAAGATCTAAAAGCATGGGATTTTGACTGAAATTGAACATGCAGCTGAACTTGATATCAATACCTTTTACAAAACTGTCAGAAAACAAAGATCCACAAACTGATGTTATAACCACACTTAACTATGATAATGAAAATGAATCAACACCTGCTGGTATATGTAGATTGTGGGGTAAATATTACTCGGACCTAGCTCAGCCACACACCTCACAGATGTTTGATGATGAATTTAAAGATGAAATATGTCAGAGGGTTGAATCTATTGAAGTATTAGATGACTATTTAATCGATGAAGGACTGGAAAGGGATTTTACAGATAACGAGGTACGAGAGATTGTCAAATCTCTCTGCAAAACAAATCTCCAGGCCCAGATAACATTACAAATGAGCACATTATCCACGGGGTCAGGGTCTCATTACACACCTTTGTGACCTGTTTAACAAAATAATTAAATTTCGCTATGTGCCTTTTAACTATAGACTTGGTATGGTCATTCCAATCTATAAAGGTAAAAGGAAAAATCCGATCCCCGAAACTATAGGGGAATTACTCTAACGTCATGCCTTGGAAAACTTTTGAGAAGCTATTACTTAAACGAATAGAAACTAAATTACTTGAAAATAATCCTTACTTCCCTGATATACTCCAGTTTGGATTTAGAAAGGAACATGGCGCAGTTATGAGCGTTTTGCTCTTATTGAAAGTATCAGATATTACATTGAGAGAAACTCTACAGTATATGCTGCCTTTTAGATAACGAAAAGCATTTGACAGAATATGGCACGATGGTCTATTTTACAAGTTACATCAACTAGGTATCCAGGGAAACATCTGGAAACTACTGCACTACAGCTATACAAATAGTTATGCTTTTGTAAGATATAAGGGTGAAAACTCTGACAGGTATCCTATTAAGCAAGGTGTTGGCCAAGGCAGAGTCATGTCGTCCTGGTTCTTCCTAGTGTTTATCAATGATTTAATTTCTTCACTAAGACAGGCTAGTAATGGCCTAAGTGTGTATGGTGTGAATGTTCCGACTATATTGCTTGCTGACGACACAACACTTGTAAGTACTTCACCAAAGGGACTTCAAACTGCTCTCGATACTGTACATACATATGCCAATAAATGGCGCTTAACATACAATCCTGCAAAAAGCACAGTAATCATTTTTAATAAACGTAAACGTAAAGTTAAAACTGTAAACTACACTCTTGGCAATGAAAACATCGCACCAGCAGATTCCACTACTTACGGCGGTATACTTCTAACGTCTGATTTAACATGTAAATCTAGAATCGAAAAGTGCTGTCAGAAAGCAAGACAGAGTGTTAATTCCCTTAAATGCTTGGGGCTAAATAACACTGACCTACATCCAGCTACCAGTGTTAAGATATGGCAAAGAATGATTCTGAAAACAAGTTTTATGGCTGTGAACTATTGTTTGACATTAAAGGGCAGCAACTTTGGTTGCTAGAAAACACACAGCGGTACTTTGCCCGCACTGTCCAGGGACTAGATAAGAGATCTCCGTCTGAATCCACTATTGCAAACTTAGGATTGTGGACCATGATTGGCTACATTGATAAAAGTAAACTCCAGTTCTTTGGCTCTTTATGCAACGCTAGTTGTGACAATCTCATAAAACACATATTCTGTGCTTCCATGGCTAATACACCCCGAAAATCAACTATTTGTGGAGATCTTCAGTCTGTTTTGTGCAAATACAACCTTATAAACTACTTACATACGTACTTATACAGTGGTTCATTTCCCCCCAAACACCAGTGGAGACGAATTACAAACAGACACGTACAAGAATATGAAGAACACATCTGGCGTAACAAAGTATCACTTAATGCAGGACTGTCTCGTTACATGCGAGGTCATACATCACTGACATATCACATACTTTTGAACTTAGCATTTTTATACCCTGAACACAGAGCAGCCTTGCAATTATGTTTGAAACTTTCATCACGAAATAAAATCTCAAAAGAATGTTTGCTTTGTAACAAGCACGCTTATGACTATGACAACCATGTGATACTACACTGTGAAAAATTATTAGGTCTCCGAAATAACTTTTTCTCATCTCTGATTGATCTACTTGATGTTGAAACCTATGTAAATTTTGAAATGTTGGAAGACGAGGAAATGCTGTCAACTCTCCAAGGTGCAGATACACAGTTCACACGATCCCTAGTGCGGGACACATACCATGCTGTCATTATAAACTTTGCAAAGTATGTCTATCATTTGAAACAATATCTTGAGTTTGTATTTTAATGGAGTCACAAGTGACGCCATCCCTTTGTGAATGTTTCTGTACATATCAATTGTCAACTATGAATAACATTGTCCTGTTTGTAAATACTATTGTATTGTATGTTTGATTGACTGCATGTATCAATAATCTTCGGATTGATTTCTGGAGGAAATAAAGAATCTCTCTCTCTCTCTCTCTCTATAGGTTCACATGCTGAGGTTACGTCGACGGAATGATGAAGTGAGTGAGTGAGTTTAGTTTTACGCCGCACTCAGCAATATTTCAGCTATATGGTGGCGGTTTGTAATAACCGAGTCTGGACCAGACAATCCACTGATCAACAACATGAGCATCGATCTGCTCAAATGGGAACAGATGATAAGTGTCAACCAAGTCAGCGAGCCTGACCACCCGATCCCGTTAGTCGCCTCTTACGACAAGCATGGGTTACTGAAGATCCATATTCTAACCCGGACCTTCACAGGTCGGAATGATGAAGACATCCACTAACCGCACAGTGTTTAGCAATACGTGTATTATATCGCCTATTTTACACTGTACTAGGGACTTGATAATACCACGTTCGTTGTTCCTTACGTTCGTGTTTCCGTCAGATATATACACATGGAAAGAACTATCGTAACACCTGTGATCGTTAAGGTCAAACAACCACAGTAATCATAGTTGCACATTATTCCTCTGCTCGTCGCTCCACAAGCGATGTCACTCAGGAGTTATAGAATAATACCAACATTCTCCCAAGTGAAATAAGTCATTTTCAGTCATGTTTGCTTTTCTGAAAATTCTTATTACGAGAGTGCGACGTCTCGATACAGAATCTTGTACCGATTTTGTCATGTGTGGATTTCACAAATGGTTGGAAATGAATGTAATTTTTTATATGTTTTTAAGCAACGTCTTCAGGACATTTTCTTCCAAGAATGGTCTATGTCTTTAAATAATTCAAGTTTCTTAGAACACTATTCTTCTCATAAATCTCTGTTAGAACAGGAGTTGTATATTATGAACCTACGAGACAAATCGTTAATACGGGCGTTGTGTAAATTTAGAATTGGCTTTCATGATTTTAGAATTCACTATTTACGCAAACTCAATAGAGCTTTCAGTGATGTAAATGAATCCATCTGTAAAAATTGTAATACAGGTAATATTGAAAGTGAATTTAATGTATTATTTGTGTGTACCAAGTATTTAGATTTAAGAAGTAAGTATTTAAACACCTGTAAGAGATGAACAAACATTGTCCAGTCTGTTAAATTCTAAAAATATTGATATTATCAAATCTATTGCAATTTATTTAAAACATGTCTTTAATTCAAGAAATGCCACCACAACCAACACGTGCATATAATTATAGCAAGTGTATTTGTGCTATAGGCCTTTAGGCCCGAAATACTGAATAAAAATGAATCTGAATCTGAATCAGCTTGTACCGTTGCCAGGCAGGAATGTAACATGCAGTGGTGGCAAAGTATGTATACTGAGTGTAACGAAGGAAACAAGATAAGTAACACATTTGGCTGGGCATTGAGGTGATGAAGTCAGTGACTCTGTCACCACTGCATGTTAAAGGATTGTGAGTGAGTGAGTTTGATTTAAGTCACGTCGGCAATTTTTCAGCCACTTGATAAAGTTATACGTTAATTATAAAAACTGTCATCGATAGACAGAAAAACAACAAGCAAGATATCACATATTTGTTTTTAAAACTAGTTATAGAACATTACAACTGATAATTTGGGACTGGAGGACGCCAGCAACACAGTTGTGAGTGAGTTAAACGTTTACATCGCATCGGCAATATTACAGCCATATAGCGATGCGAAAAAGATAATCAATTTGAAAATATTTGTCCGCAAAGGACAGTAAAACCAACTAGAATATCACAGATATATATTTAAAACTAGCAATCAAATCTAAAATACTTTACCTATAGAGGACGATACAATATAAAAACAGGCTACAGATCGTCAACAACTGAAGGTAGATCACCATACCAGGGACCATGGGGACTTACAGTACCTTTGCTACGTGCATGGACCCTAGTTGGATTTACACCATCCCTTCAGCCGCTGGCGATTGTAGGAAATATTTAGCCAAACTTTTAAAGAAGATAGATTAAGGGATTGCAAACGTAGGTCACAATACTTACAAACAAATGGAAACATTCCTCCGTAGCAGATGACTGCTTCAAGCCAATACATATAGTTCAACATCAGATCAGATACCGAGGTTGACAAACACTGCAACTGTTTAATGTCCGATCTGACTGAATATCATGAAATATGTCCGTGTTAACGTGAATCATCTCTGTTCATGAACAGCTCACACAGTCAAGCAAACCGACCACGTGAGTCCCAAGAAAAACTAACTGGTTGTTGTAGACCTAATCTTACCAAGAGGCCCCACAGGGTAGCATAATGGCTGAAGGTCCGATCGTCGAGCTGAAGTGAGCGAGTGAGTATGGTTTTACGCCGCTTTTAGCAATATTCCAGCAACATCACGGCGGGGTGTACCAGAAATGGGCTTCACACATTGTACCCATGTGGGATTCGATCCCGGGTCTTCGGCGTGACAAGCGGACGCTTTGAACCTCTAGGCTACCCCACCGCCCCTCGTCGCGCCGAAGACCCGGGTTCGATTCCCTATACAGGTGCAATGTGTGAAGTTCCTTTCTGGTGTCCCCCGCTGCGATATTGTTGAAATATTGTTAGGCGCGGCATAAAACCTCACTCGCTCACTCACACAAGTAATTACATGCAAAGTTCGTCTATTGTTTTGCTGCGTGAGGCTATAAATATTGATTCCTCATGTCATATGTATCGGGTTCTACCGACAAGACGTGCCAACTCTTTGCGCGAACACCCGATGTCATTAATGACAGTAAGTGGTTCATCCAGATAATTTTCAATTTGCTCTTTCCACCAATGGAATGTGTCTGAAGACAAGGTTATTCTCTTGCACACATTATTGACATCAAACATGTGTGCTTCATTCATTTCATTCACAGTAGAGGGGACAGCCGAGGATGTGAGTCATTATGTTGGCATGTACCAAAGTCGAAATTCACCAGGAAAAGGAAACAAATTAACAAAAAGTTTTCATTCTGACAGGAAAACCATTCACCGTATCTGTATAAATCATTGGACTATATGTTTCATTTACATCGGGGCATAAACATGGCATGAACGCAATTTGTATGTGAGTGAGTGAGTGAGTTACAATTTAACGTCACATCGGCAATATTTCAGCCATATCGTGACGAGAACATTTGATATTGAAATGAAATATATGTATATTAGAAAAAACCTGCCGACGAAGGGCAGTAAAACAACTAGAATATCACAGATATACATGTAAAACTAATAATAGAGTCTAAAACATTTTAACCACAGGGGACAACACAATATAAAAATGGGCTATAGATCCAATTTGTATGTGAGATGGAGAGACACTGACGCGGAACTGGTAGCGGCAAAGGGGAAGAGAACATTGACTAGATTGAGTCTCATCATTCAAATTGTTTCAGCTCATTACGTTTCAACTCTGTTAAATATGTTTATACCCTGTATAGGTTTGATATAGGAATATGGAGATCCAATGCAATTGAAAATCTAGGAACCTTCCTCACTCACTCAGTACAATAATTCTAACTAAACCCCTCAGGTGTGGCTGTATATTGCCAAGGAATACATCTTTTAAATAAAAGACCGATCAGCATTCCTTAAAGGCACAATCACACATTGTCAACAATATTTTGGCCTATATTATAAATATTGGGGCATGTGCACTCACTTTAGCTTCCTATTGGTGCAATAAAAGACTTATTATCCCTTACAATCTGCATGAAATCGATAATTGAAACTTCGAGGCGAACAGCTTCCAAACAGAGAACACTAGCTAAATATAGAATGTAAACAATTGCTCCATACATCAAAAACTGTCGCACGC